GGATCTCTTAATATCATGACTCAACATGTCACTGCCTCAACCCACTCTAAAGGACACACACATGACTTAATAATTACAAGAGGTGACGAAAACTTAGTCCATGATGCAATTATACTGCCCGATCTTTTCTCCGATCACAATGTTGTAACCTGCAACCTAGATTGCCCAAAGCCGCTTGCCTCTAAAACTTGTCACATACCGATCAACTAAGTCTTTGACGGCTGATGTACCGGATGACGTTTTACCGAAAGTACCTTACGTAAGAGACCCGAAATCCCTAGTTACAGTTGACTTGACAATATTGGTCATTAAATATAACACAGCCCTGGAAAAGATCTGCAACGACCTCGCCCCCATGAAATCGCGATGGATAACTCATCGACCACATGCACCGTGATATAACGATGATCTCCGTTTAGCCAAACGCATAAAACGGAGAGTCGAGCGCATGTTAAGAAAAACTGGTCTGGAAGTTCACAAAGAAATATTTGCAAAGAAAATATTTTTTGTAACAAATACCAGAGGCAACTGAAGTTTCATAAATCGTCCTATTACAAATCTAAGATCGAGCGAGCTGGAAAAAACAAGCTTTTTCGAATTTTGACAAACTGTTTCAACTTGGTAGCTCAGCCCTTCCTTCCTATACATCTTTGGACGTACTGATCGAAGATTTCAACGACTTCTTCATCAGGAAGATCCAATCCATTAGAGACGAACTCCAGGATGAAGTGGACCACTCAGTGCAACCTTAACGTCGGATTTTAGCTCACGAATTTACACTCAACTATTGATCTTACAAATCAGGCTCTACCCCTGACTGCCATCCGAAATTGTATAGAGGATGTAATACCATGGAACACACAAAACATGCTAAGAGGTAATGCTGAAAAGACTAAGGTTATACTGTTTACATCCCAGTTCACCAAGACACCTGATTGAACTAACTAAGAGAGTTTGTAATCTTGGTGTTAATTTAGATAAAAGCCTATCACAGGAACTAATACTAATATAACGAACTAAAGCGA